TATATGCTGTGGATTGGAGTTCAGGGCTGTAGCTCGGCAGTTATGGGTCACCAGTTCAGCTAGACCCTGTTCGTGTCTCCAGTGATTCTCAGGGCCTCCCTCCACCACTCACCAAATGTATATAATATTAGTAGAATGAATCTTCTGCTAAAACATGGAACCATACACTGCCATATGCTATGTATTTTGTGCATTTGGTGAGTAGTGGAGCAGACCCCACTGGACCTATTCGTAAGAAAACAAAACCAAGAAAACGAGAGAGCCACAGGCATCTTCATCCTAACCCATAACTGCCGACATGCAGACCTGAACGCCAATCTTCAGCATATATTGGTGATTGGCTGGCCATAGAAAACGCAACTTGTGATCTTTGCAAAGCCTCGCGGGGCAGGTTGATATCAGGCAACTACCCCTTCTTGCGAACTTACCCCACCACTGTGTGGGATTTGCAGAAGGGAGCGGGAAGAACATCTTTCATACCCCGCCTAAAAAAAAAGATGGAATGAGCCCTATTTTAAAAGTATTTTATGCTTCACCGTTCTGAAACTTTTGCGGGAAGGGCCTGGGGAAATCGAAATTTGGCAGCCCTTACGAGCTGGGGGCGCGGGTGGTTTCCGAGCTCACACGGTGAGTTTAACATTTTTGTCGAGTTGGGGGCCCTAAGAAATTACGAAACCCCTACTCTCTTTTTTTTTTTTTTTGTGTGGACCTAATTTTTCCAGTGCGCTTCGCTTCGGTGCGCTGTGTGGTGCGCAATTCGTGCGCAAATCCGCGCACCGAGGTGCGCCGCAACTATGCTTGGGACTCTTGACCTCTCAGAGATTTGACGGGCTGCCTCTACTGACCACAAGAGGTCAAGTTGACTCTTTGAGACCTAACCTAGCCACGACCTACTGCCTTTCAGAGGACGTACAGCCAGTTGACCTTTCGAAAGGTCAACTGTAAACTTGCCTTTCCGGGACACCTGCGGACGACCCCAAGACTTCTAAGCAACAGACCTATGGATCAAATCCACACGACTCGGGCTTCACACACAAGGCATGTATACACGGGTTTGGGGACAGGTCGTGGGTTCAAGGCACACGGGGTCAATGAACAACACAAACGTACTGTACACTGAATTGGGGAAAGTCTGGGGATCAAACCCCCGGTGTCTGCAATTGTTGCGCGAACTGGGTGAAACCCTTTCACCCTTAAGGTTGAACATACAGATAAGAATTGTCAATCACGGGGCGGGGTACGCCTTCTCTCTACCTTTTCTATAATCTCTGTATCTTTTGTCTGTTCTTTGTGTCTAAACTTTTGGTTGCTGGTAACGAGTAACCGGACTGGCACCTCCCCATAATAGACGGGGCATGCATGATGTGGGTGTGAAAAAAAAAAAGACCTGCCAATGAGAATTTTGAGGCCATATAAGGGGATAAAGTCAGCAGTTGAGCTTGCAAACGCAGGGCTTTAGAACAGATGGACATTGGGGGAGCATGGCTTAATGTCCTTCGTTGAACCAACTTAGCAACCTGATGAGGCTCGTAGCACGCCCTGTTGAAACATGCTAGGGCATTTGGGGGCATCTTCGGGACTTTGTCAAAGTTACTTCATGATGATGAGTGATGAACAGATATGCTTGTTTACTATTTTCGTTTTATCAAGCAAAGTGAAGCTCTGATGTCAAATGAGAAGCTTGTGAATGTCCTCTGTTTGTTATACTTGTCGCATCAATGCCTCTAGATTGTCCTGCTCCTCCCTCTGTGCCTCCTCTTGTTTGTCCTCGCCGTTTCTGTGTGCTCTTTCTCTTCTCCTGTTTTGCCTCAGGCATCATCTCCCTTGGTACTGCTTCTTTGCCAAAAGTTTCTCAGAATGAAGCAATGAAGAGAACCAAAAAGGAGAAAGAAGAAAAATCCTGCTAAGGCATGACTGCATGAGCGGTATATCTACCCTCTTCGGACTCTGTTTACCCTTCTCCTCCAAACCATCTGCCTGCCTGCATGTCTGTCTGTCTGTCTGCCTGTCTGCTGGCTGCCTGCCTGCCTGTCTGTCTGTCTGTCTGTCTGTCTGTCTGTCTGTCTGTCTGCCTGCCTGCCTGTCTGTCGTTCAGTCGGCCAGTCATTCCGTCAGTCCATCCGTCCGTCTGTCTATCTGTCTGTGCGACCATCTGTATGTCTGTCTCTGTCCGTCTGTCGTTCAGTCGGCCGCTCGGTTGGTCCATCCATCCATCTGTCTGTCTGTCTGTCTGTCTGTCTGTCTGTCGTTCTGTCGTTCGGTCAGTCCATCCGTCCATCTGTCTGTCTGTCTGTCTGTCTGTTGGTCTGTCTGTCCGACTATCTGTCTGTATGTATGTCTGTCTGTCTTGTCTTTCTTCCTGCCTGCGTGCCTGTGTCCATCTGTCTGTCAGCCTGTATGTCTGCGATGCATGTCTGTCAACAGAGAGGCATGGCGCAGATCCCAGAATCCACTGAACTGAAGACAATTACAAATACAATGCAGGGGAAGCAGGAAAACAATCAATCTGACACACACAGATTGAGACTTGTCCAAAGCACTCTCGCTGCACTCATCATCATGACTGAGAGTGGCGAGCAGGGTAGCATACATGAATGGAGGTCCATCCTTGCACATACACACACATGGGAAGATAAGTTCCATAGATGATGAGGGACAACAGTGGGATAAATGTAGAAGAAGAAGAAGAGAGATAATATCATGATAGTCTCTCTGAACTCTCATTGTCTCCAGTACTGTGCTGGGTCTGAACCTGGGAGTAGTCTCCCTGAAATAGTTGCCAAGTCTCTGAGCTCTCTCTCAGAAGTCCGAAAGGAGCTGGAGATGGAGGGGAAAAATGAAATCTCTCTCTCTCTCTCTCTCTCTCTCTCTCTCTCTCTCTCTCTCTCTCTCTCTCTCTC